TCTGGTCGGGTTTTGCGCTGCCTCTAGCCACAGTTTTGTTTTTTTGTTTGTTTTTTTCCAGCAGACATTGAAAGTTTCAGTTTCCATCTCCTGAATGGACAATCTGTATTAAATACCGTAACTTTATTGGCACTCAGGTAGAGAAGCGCGGAGACTGTTTTTACCAATCATACGGTCAATCAAGACGCAGAACACTGGGGGGAAAAAACTGCACAAAAAAATCTGCGAAGCAGCAATACCTTGAAAGGTGAACCGCGTTATAGCGAAGATTCACTGTACATTAAATAATTTATAAAGAGCAACTGAGTAATTTGTAGAATGGCTGTATATCTGAGTTTATCTAGGTGTATCTGGGACTTCATTCTCATGCCTGGTCTCATAATGCCTCAACATTGAAAAGGTGGATTTATTTAAATAAGACAGTTTCAAAACAGTTCCTGTATCGGTTACGTGACTTGCTGAAACCAATACGTGCACCAACACGGTTTTGATCTATGGGCTTGACACATGCGCCGATGCATCGGTGTAGCCGGACTCATCACTACTGTTAATCCACAGTACTCAGCCACGCCCCTAACTCCTCCTAACCTTCAGCGGACTGACTACTGACCAGCTCTCCGTCTCACGGGTCCGAAAAGCTTCTAATTCCTGGGTATTACCGCAAATAAGAATATAGAGAACTTTTGTTTAAGCTGGGAGCGAGAAATATTCGTCTAAGCTCTAACTACCTTCATCCAAGACGTTATGAGCCGCTTCAGTCTATGGTTCAGACATCGGAGTAGCCCTGCCGGTGTCCGAGCTCATAAACCACGTCTGTTCACGGCAGCTCTTTCCCTGTTATTAACGTGCACTTGTTTCCGGCCTAGATAATTTTAGCGACTAGGAATAAGTCCCAGGGTCATTATTTATCTGAACTAAAGAACGTACGAAGCTACCCTGATTTACTAGGACCACAAACACTGGTTTTACAATAATCAGAAGAATTAAATTTAGTTGACTCAATTAATTTAACTGTCCACAACATCAAATTAGACTTTAGTATTTTATTAGCAAGCTTTAGCAAGGGAAAAAGACATACAGCTTATCAATAAAAAATTAAGTAATCAATAGATTAAAGAAAATTTAGAGATTTCACCTAATTCTAAACCCTACACTGTGTCTTAATCTAAATAGAGGCTTTGGGGGAGGCAACATTACTCAAACCCAGATTCAGAGACGATCTTTGGCAGCAGAAAACTTTAACGTCCATGGATGGAGTCCTGTCTTTGTCTTAGCAGAATCCTTTTAGAATAAATCCAAAGTTGAACTGGTGAGAATCCTCAACGAACTCAGTTCTTTATCCATAACAGATCTTTGTCTATTCCCCATGTCCACTGCAGCATCGTTGAAATCCTTTGGGTTGAGCGTGGGGCCGCAGTCGAATCAGAATCCCGGGTTGTGGGTAAACGGATCTTGTTCCTTTCTTGTGCAGCGAGCAGTCGTCCCGGGGTGTCATCACGCAGCCCTCCGTTGATTCTGCATCTCCGTTTGCTCGACTCGAACGCCGCGGAACAAAGAACCTCGATCCTCCGTTTGCATATATTTTTATACCGTATATTCTGCATGTCCGGTGCGTACTTTCCCTGACGTCAAGTGCCTTCAGTTAGCCTCGACCTTTCCTCCACTCAACTTTTAACCTTCCTTCTTCTTTAAAACTTAAAGATTAACAACTCAAAACACCTAGTGCAGATATAGTCTCAAAATCTCACTTCCTCTTTCCTCCGTGCTGACAGTTCTTTCACCCCTGCAGTCTATATTTGTGACACAGTATCAGACACTTTTTACTCTTTACTCTTCAACCCCATACAGGTTAAAGAAATGATTATATGTATTTTACTCTGGGTTTTATCCAATTACTAAAAATGTTTAGATTGTATAAAGTAGAATTAAAGCAAAGTTTGCAGGACACAATAACACACACAACCAGATTAATTTCATTACCGTCTGACTCTACTGTTGGGTCTTGATGACATCTGTGTAATTAGTTTTAAAGATAACTTTATTCATTGTTATTATTAAACTAAAATCTCCAGCATGGGGAAGTGGGATGAGCTCGACTTTTCTCGACACTAGTTCTCTGTGAACTCACCTCTTCTTGATGCCGTTGGATGTTACCAACCGGTAGCCCGAGCTCCACTTACACCCTCGCAGTAATCAAACCTTCCTTGGACCTCCATGTTGGCTGTCTCCCTCCCATTGGAAATTAAAGAACTTACCTGTCTGCCCTCCAACGCCGTCTGTGCTCCACCGCAGTTCCTTTGTTGGCCTAGCAGCAAACCCCCCACCGAGATCTCCACCCTGGTAAACGCAGTACTCTCCTAGGCTCAGATCTCCACTAATCCAAGTAAGGCTTTGTTTGCGCACAATTCTAAAATCAAGCTTCCCTGAACTCACCTCCGTTTCTCCCCCTGCTCCAGTGAACCCAAACCTGTCGCCAAACTCCCTTGGACCTGCAGTTCTGGTCATTATTTATATTTTTTTCAACAAATCTCTTTTACTGATTTTTGTTTCTCCATCTGGTGTTCTTGCATGTGGGTCAGAAAGACTGAACCCATCATGACAAAAAGAAAGACACTGGCGCTGAAATGTCAGAAAAATCACAATCAAACTATACAGCCTGGTGATCTGCTGGCTTATATTACACTGGGGGGAAACCCGCAGAACCTCAAGGTTCTACATTGAGTGTGGCTTCAAAAATCAGAAAAGAATTGGCCACAGCTGCTCCTGTACATTTATTTTTAAATGTACAGAAAATATTTGATAATTAAAAAAAAAATTTTTTACAAAAGCATGTATTTTACTTCTGGGTGCACAATTTGTGCTGACCTTTTGGTTGATAGTCATTTGGTGTCAAAAAAAAAAAATCCATATTTACCCATCAATTTTAAAAATTGTATATGGTATAATTACATATTCAGTTGCATTTAATTTTCATTCATTTTAATATTCAACAAGCTGAACCGAGAATCCACTGTGTCATCACACATCAAGAAGGTTAATATCTTTTTCTGTGCGGTAACAAGTTTTGACATTAGGAAATATTTGAGAACAAATTTATAATTAAATCAAAGACTAATTATAAATTTAGAGACTGTAAAAGCAGCTTTAATGAACTGTGTGTCTCACCTAGACCAAAGGAATCTGAGGACAAACCCAGCTGGTTGGACAGAGACTGATCTTTGTGGTGAAGATGTAGGATCGTCAATCTGCTGGCTTTTTTTCCTTTCTTTATCACAGAATCTATGGTGTTGCGGGCCTTGTCTGCTCTGGTTTGGTTCTTCTGAAGTATATTCTCTTTCTCCAAAAGAGTAAAGACAGAGTCTGATAGAAGGCCATCGAGGAGCTGATTTAGGATTTCTTCAGAAATTCTTTCCACAAACTTGCTACGAACATCGAAAAGTTTTTCCTCTGCAGGCAGAAATTAGAGACAGGATTCATTTAACTAGAAATGTCAGAGAAAATTGTGATGAGGATCAAATGATGTTGCTCTGTCAGCTCACTTTGCTGTCATCTTTGAAAGCACAATCAACATTGGCTCACTTCGACAAACAGCTACTATCACAAAATTTTATTTTACAGACAACACAGCAGAAACATTAATCAAATCTACTTCATAAAATCGTGTAAAAAACATCAGGTTTGATGATTCTTGGTCTAAAAAATGAAGAATGTTGTCAGATTTCAGTGTGTTCAGTGAGTTTTGACGCTTTGTAGTTTGATATTGTCCACAGAAAAAGTTTGTGCTGCTGTTGCACATTTTTACGCCAGGGAAAAAAATTGCGTATATTTATGCACATTTTCATGCGACATTCATTTTTATACATGCTGACTTGTGCGTAAAATATGGTGCCACACTTTTTTGTACGTACCTACACTTTACAAATAAGGCCTTTGGACTCACCTCCGTCTCTACACTTTAAAATTTCTTTCACCAAAAGTTGGAATAAAAGACACAGCAAGTTTTTCCATCTGGGACAATGAATTAGTAATAAATGATGCAATTACTGGATACATTGATTAGGCTTCTTTACTTTGGTTCCTTTTAGTTCTGTTTCCATTTGAGTTCAGTTTTTACCTTCAGGTTTTGCAGAAACTCATAATGTTTCCACCAGAGCTTCACTGAACAGGAAGCATGAAAACAATAAAGACACACTGAGGCTGAGCTTCATCGCATGGCAGTAGCACAGGCTGATTGGTCAGTTTATTCCTTTATGATAGTTAATTTCTGCTTCTGATCACTTACCAAAATTCACTTCCTGCTTCTGCGCCATCTTTTACCTGGAAAACATGAAGATTTATTATATTTCAGGTGTTATATAATAAAAGTATTTGCTATTTAGAAATGGAGAAAATATCCAATAAAAGATAAAAAGTGCTTATTTAAGCACACAAGCACAGACTCACCAGAAAAACATAATTAAAGCTATAAACTGACTGAATCTATAGTCAGTTTATATACTGACTGTAGAAAAAAATAAACACACACATGACATTTTTCTTCTCCATGAATAATGTTCGGCATTGACTGTCAGTCATTCTAGGCTCTGATTTCCTTCAGGTAGAAACGTAAACGTCTTCACCTCTTTAACTTCCTATTTACCATCTGACTGTAATGCGTTACTGCTACCACTAAGTGGCAGCATCAGCTGCAGAAAGGAAAGACTCCAGAAAGGAGTCTGGCCTCCTGCTCAGGCGTTTAGCTTTCAGGTGACCAGATTAATCCGTATTAATCTCCATAATCAGAGAAGCAGAAGCAGCTGGTTCTTTTTTTTTAAGGAACATTATGAAATGAGTCTGAAGCCTTTTTGCCTTTGTTCCACTATGATGGTGAAATAAATCTGATCAGGTTTTTAAAAAACACGAGTTAAAAACAGTTTTTTGCTTTTCTGGCTTAAAATGTATAACTTAAATTCCAAGAGGACAAAACAAAAGTCAACACATCTGCTACAGTTTTACTTAGAAACTAAAAAACCTCAATGCAGCCAGGAACCAAAACATTTGGCTCAAAGGTCAACATCCTGCCACCAACCCAGAGGAAAAACTGCAGTGATTGTTAAGAAACTCTCTGTTTATTTATATTACATGAACTAACCAACCCAGATAGATAACACTGATCATAAAATAGAAAAACACTTCAAATATCTCTAAATATTCACAAATAACCTCTAAATATAACAAATAAATTTATTTAATTAAAACAACAATAAATATCACTGAAATATCAGTCACTGAATGGATTCTGTACTTAATATATATATACTTTCTGCTGGGTGTGTTATTTTTTTAAGGTTTAATGTTTTAACTCAGTTCAGGTCTAAATAACAACAGAGGATGTTTTTAAATACTCTCGGGGGCGCTTTGTTGTTATGTCACCATAATCACTTATTATTGACCAATAATTGATTGAAATGTGATCAGCTGTCTTCTGTCACCACAGACTGATTCCATCCGGATTTTCTACTGATAAAAGCCCAGAGAAATCCTCTTTGATCAATAAATTATTGACTTCGTATTGAAATATTTTCCATCCACCAACCAGAAACCCAGATATCTCAGCTGGGCCACTAACACTCAGAACCTACTGGTACCAGTTTGACTCCACCATAAAACTGGGAGCAAACTCAGCTTGTTGTCTGGGTTACAGATGAAAACTCAGAGAAAATCAGAGTTCCTGGTTGAAATCAGGTGCTTCAGCTCTGCGTCATAAACAGAACCAGAATCAGGCCCAGTTCTGTTTCTGGTTCTGTCAAACAGAAAGAGAGAAAACCCAGTCAGGACTGGAAACCAGTAGAAAGTGGAGTTAAAACTCACCTGATCAGAACTTTGCTTCTCCTTCTGTTCACACAAACCGAGTCAGAGCCAACTGGAGAACTGGACCTGATTCTCCAGAACCTGAACCAGACCCACTTGAGGCTCCGCCCCCTCTGACAGCAGAGGAATGTTCACCTGTTGAAATGACAGGAATCCTGTCTGACCATCGCTACCAGGAAATAAAAGTACAAAAACAACAAGTTCACATTTTAGTTTAAAGGTTCTTTGTTTGAAACATATTCAGAAATTTCTGGATCAATTTTTTTTATTAAATTAATGGAGATTTTAAGTTTATCAGATTTATACTTATTTATAAAGAACTTCATAAAACAACCAACACAGCACCAAAGAAAATATCCACTAGTGATATTTTCTTCTTGCTCTCATCTGATCAGCTTGTAGATATTAAATCTGATGGTCTCAGGATGGAACCTCGAGGTTCCCCACATTCTGTTCAATCTGCTGAGACATTTCCTACTGACACAAAGAAGTCCCAGTTCTTCAGGTCAGACTGGAACCAGTCCAGAACTGGACCAGAGAGTCTGACAAGTTTTCCAGTTGTTTCTATAAAATGTCATGATGCTGCACTGAGTCCATGTTACTCCACATGTAGACACGACCAGCTGATAAAATGTTCTTTATGAAGCAGAGATTTTACAAATTTATTTCATAGTGTTTAATGTCGATAGAAAGAAAACTTTTCATGCTGATTCTCACCTGAACTTCTTTCATTCCTGAACATAATGTTCTTTCAGCTTTGGCCTCTTTTAGCCTGGAGGATGTTTTTGTCTCAGGCGTTCAAACAAAAACGTTGATAACCTGATGAGACAGGTTTTAAGTCACAGTGGGCGTTTACTGTGAGATGTTTGTGAATTTCTGTCTCTGTTGTGCAGGCATGTTTTCTTGTTGCCTCAGATTGAGTCAAGGTTCATTACAGAGGCAGCCTCACATTAAACTCTAGAATATTTTGCTATATAGAGGAGTTGATGGTCGGTACAGTGACTTATAGCTGGAAAATAAGACCTAAACTAGTATTGTGTCCTGTCAAACATCTGGTAATAATATAATAATTTATATGTCACTATACATGAGTGGAATCTGGTTTAGTGCAGGGAGAATAGTAGATTGTTCAGGTTGACCCTCACAGTGTGTCTTTACCTCCGTGACAGAGGTTCCGCCGAACCCCTGAGACCAACTCATCAAACCTCTGGGGTTCGATCGAACCCAGGTTAACACCAACATGACAATATAGTGTTTTGAAATATTTGGTTTCAACTGTATGATGATCCCAATGTCACTGATTCCCTCAGTGCTTATAAGGTCTCAGATGGATAATTTTCTCTCTTCCAGATACACAGAGACTAAAGTTCTGAGTTCAACATGATGATCAGATTCAAATCGTCTTCTTTACAGGAACAAACATTACAAACAACAATGAGCTGAGGATCGTGATGGTGGGTTTGGGAAGAGACTGGGATTGGGAAGAGCGCTTCTGGAAACACCATTCTGGGTCGCCAGTGCTTTCAGTCCAAATGCAGCCCCAAATCCATGACTGTGAACTGCTCCAAATGCTCCAGTAATGTGGACGGACAGCAGGTTACTGTCATTGACACTCCAGGTCTGTTTGACACCAGGTTTGAGGGAGACAAAACCATCAAAGATCTGAGTCAGTGCGTCTGTTATGCTGCTCCTGCTGCTCCTCCCCACATCTTCCTGGTGGTCGTTCCAATCGGCAGATTCACAGCAGAAGAATTACAATCAGTGCAAATGATTCAAAAGATCTTTGGAGAGGCAGCAGACAGATACAGCATGGTTCTGTTTACCCGTGGAGACGACCTTGATTCCACCATTGAAGATTATTTGTCCGACAGCCCAGAGCTGCAGGATCTGGTGTCCAGGTGTAACAACCAGTATCATGTCTTCAACAACAAGCTGAAAGATAAGAAACCTCAGGTCACTGAGCTGCTGGAGAAGATCAGAACCATTGTTGACAGGAATGGAGGAAGTCACTACACCAGTGAGATGTTCCAAGAGGCTGAGAGGGCGATCGGAGAGGAGAAACAACGAATCCTGAAGGAGAAAGAAGAAGAAATACGCAAAGAGAGAGAAGAACTGGACCGAAAAATAAAAGAAAAGTATGAGAAAGAGATGGAGAGAATGTATAAGCAAATCCAGGCTGACAGAGAGAGAGAGAGAAAGGAGAGAGAGAGAAGCAGTTTCAAGCCCTGAAGGAAAAGCAGAAGAGAGAAAGTCAACAAGCAAAATCCAGGCTGCAGTCTGAGTATGAATCTAAGGCCAGAGAAGAAGCTGAGCAAAATAATCCTCTCTATTATTTGGCAAAAGCTGGAGAACAAATTGTTAACGCTGCATGTAGCTTTGGTAAATTTGTTCCAAGCTGGTTTTAATAGTTAAATATTGAAAGTTGGAAACTTGCAGCTCTTAAAAACATGACGATGACTGCAGGAATCTGAAAACAACACATTTCAACCGCAAGTTCCTTAACAAAAACAAAGTACAAAACATGGAGAACAGAAAACGACAAACTAGATTCTGTTTCTTTCATTGCTAATAAATAAAGCAGATCTCCAGTCAGGGTAAAACTCCTTCATAACATCTTGACATCAAAACTCAGCCAGAACCTGGATGTTGGAAAGTTCATGTGAGGTTTTTTAAGAACACAGAGCTTATATTAGATCACTATAGACTCTGCACCTCCTGATAGGCATGAATAATTTGGAACTTAACTGTCTAATATGAAGCTGCCAGACTTTAACACTGTTGGAGATCTTAGACTGCAGGCTGATCTTCGCTTAAGGCTGCTTCACATGCAGTCAAAAAATTAGTTGTTTGAATCCATGTCAATTAGTGTTTGTATATTATTTCAAAGTATTTCATGTATCACTTGTTAAGCTTTTAGAAACTGTCTTTTGGAAAATGTATATTGTTGCTGGAAAGATGAGCATAAATAGAAAATGACAGTAAATGTATTAGATTCACAAAGGTTTTTACTTCAATATTCCTGCACTTTTTGCAATAATTCTCACTTTTGATGATTGTTTGAACTGATTTCTGGTGTTTTTTAATGTTTCTGTTCTGTTGAGACATTTTGCGTCACCCTGTTCTTAATATAAAATCACAAATAAAACTTGATGAAAACAATAAATGCTGCTAAATTGATTGTTTTGTACATTACTTGCTTTACATATAGAAGTGACTGGGGAATGTTGTGGTATTGAACGGATAGTAAATTATTTCTGTTCTGTTATAAATCCACACTTAAACTAGAACTTACATAAAAATCAATTTTAAACAAAACAAAGTGTTTTGTCGTGACATTTCAGTGTTTTGTAAGGGTTCCAGCTAAAGTCAGTATAAATTGAGAAATACAAAGCTGTGAAAAATATTTTTACTCGCATATTTTCTTTTACATGTTTGAAGTCAAACTCGTTTTAATTTCACGCAGAGAGTTCCTGACTAAATACAAAAATATAATTTAAAATGAAAAATCTAGAGAAATAGAAACATGTTATGAATTAATTGTAACTTATCACAGTTTTTGAACTCTTAGCTTTGGCATAATTACAACAAGATCTATAAAATCATTAAGTATTCACTTAAGAGCACCTGTCTGCTAACATGAAGTAGACTAAAACAACAATTACAGAGATAGTCCACAAATGGAGAAAACAAAGAGCGGAGAGGAAGATTCCCAGAAAAGGACACTTAAAATTACTCCATGAGCAAATTTACCTGATAATGGAGCTCATGAATATAAATCTGACATATTATTTCAATTACATTTTTACTGCTTTTGTTTGTAGACTATAATAAATAGAGTAACACAACTTTACATCAGCATTTCTGATTCATTTTCTGTGGCTCATTAAACTCACGTCAAGGAACAATAATTTCGGCACAAATTAACATATGTGGCACTGGAAGTTATCGGTGTTTTGCTTCATATAATGTGAAAAAACATTATTTTAGTGAAGTATTTCATCAGAGATCACAGCTTTTCCTGTTTTCAAACTGTCCACTAGAGAGCGGTGTAGCGCTGCCATAAAAGGAACGGAGCTGAGAAACAAAGAAAGTTTTCAACAACCAGCACAGCTTGGATCTGAGGAGCCTCTGTACAGTATAAAACCTGCTGAGTGATTTATGTGCAGAGATGGGAAATAATTAGTTGCAGTTACTTGTCTTTAGTACACGTTTTTCTTTTTTTCTTTTTTTAAGGATAAGTACTTATTGGGGTATGTTTTTGTGCTGTACTTTTTACTTTTACTAAGGTTAGGTAAGAAGCAGTGTCGTATAAAGTACTGAAATCTCAGTGTCAAGTAAAAGTATAGGTACCTCTCCAAAATATAACTTTGGTAAAAGTCCAAGTCACTGAAATGTTACTTGAGTTAAAGTCTTAAAGTATCTGAAACATCTTGTACTTAAGTATGGAAATTACTGTAATAATGGATGTACTCAAGTAATGTAATGAAAAGTATAAGTAAAAAGTAAAACAAGGCAAATGCAGTTTGACATTTTTTATATTTTGGTAAACTTGTCAAATACACTTAAAATAATGTACACAACAAAGTACAGGCAAAATTAAACCTGCTAATAGATACACCTGCAGGCAAGGGCGTAGGAACGAGTCTGTCATTGGGGGGGACGCATATCGGAAACCTGACAGATCAGTAAATAGCTTGAGCATAATTGTCAAACAATTATGCCATCCAGGGCGGTGCAGGGAC